TTTTTTTTTTGGTTAGATTGTTATAAACTCGAAATTTATCAGCAGTAAAAAGCAGCACTTTGAAAAACAGTCAATTCATTCTTACTTACATTGACTTGTTTAGAATTGTGATAGATGAATGGATCAAGAACAGCCACATTCTACATTGAAAACAATAATTTGACTATAAAAACCTGAGTTTCCTTAAAAACTACCGTTTCCTTAAAAACTACTGTACTGTTCATTTTCCTCTTAACTGAACTTTTTGCAGAGAGAAGTCTTCTCTACCCTTTCTAAGAAAATGCATTGACAGTTACTTGCCCACAGAAGTGGTAACATATCATTTCCCATCTCGTCATTCTGATTTTTCTGCTATGGTTATCCAAATGTCTATGCTGCATTTCATAGAAGAAGAAGAGGAGAAGGCAGGGTAATTAGTCTCAACGAATGTAACATCTGTTTTGACAGCCCTCTTCAATACAGAAACTCTTTGAATTAACATTCCAAAGGATTGTATTTAAGAGAAAGAAGCCATCAAGTACGACAACACCTGCGAGACGGAAAGTAAAGATGAGGGATACAAACAGCTCTGCTCCCTCTAAGACACAATACACTTTTCTTCTGCCTTATACTCGATGAGATACTCCGGGTAAATCTGGTATTTTTCAAAGACAACAAAAATGGAGGGATTTAACTCATTGTCTACGCAGCTGTCATAGAAGCGAAGCCCATTAAAAGACTTTGTGGGCGGGCGAACGTAGGCTGCGTTGCCTTTCACGTAATCCCCAACCAGGACACGAGCCACAAACATAGTGTTTGTCTTCACCACACTCTGGCAGTACCCATGGGAATAGGAAGCATCTCTAGCAAAGTAACTTCCTAGAAAATAACATGAAAACAGGGTTATAAGGAATACATATCAAGTGACAGCAAAAATGGAGCATCCTCTTGTTTTGCAGGAGGTATTTGACTCCCCTTACTCAGTTTACATAATACCACAGAAATTTTTACAAGAGAAAGGCTTTCACCACAGAATTTCCATTCAGAATTTGTTATTTTCAGAACAACTTTTAAAAAACAAAAACATATAAAATCTCTACAGGTATGTATGTTATGATGAGAGGAATAGAAAGGAAAACATGAGGACGTTCTACGCTGATACTGAGAGAATGCCCACCCTTCTTATTTTCAGAACAACTTTTAAAAAATAAAAACATATAAAATCTCTACAGGTACGTATGTTATGATGAGAGGGATAGAAAGGAAAACATGAGGACCTTCTACGATGATACTGAGAGAATGCCCACCCTTCTTGCTCCCTGCTGTGAAGACTAGCAGCCATTTCTCTGCCAAGTTCAAATTACAACCAGGAGCCTTCAGACGATCCTACCTACAGCTTTTAAAATCCTTTCATTAATTCTCTTAACACCTTGTGAAAAGATTTATCCCCGCACAAAGCAAATCCTTGTCCTCTCCAGAGGAAAGGAAGATCCAATTCCTACCTCTTTTATTCATCCTCTATAGTTAAAGACTTCAAAACTTTGAGAAGCTCAAAACAGGGAAGTCTAAGTAGATGTCTAACAAACACACAGAGTTACTTCCTACGTACCCTTTCCATAGTTAGTTCCATTGCTTCCACAAATTCTCCAGTCAAAGTTGTGAATGCAGATGGGTTCCACGAAGGAGGCCTGTGTTCCATGGAACAGGAGCATTTCACATACCTCCTTCCCTCCATTTTCCCTCTTCATCTGCTCCTTTTGCCTAGCAGAAAAATGCAGGGGAGGAGAGTGTGAGCCATGGGAGAAAAGGGAGAAAGGATTTTTTTTTTTTTTTTTAAAAAGTGTATAATGTACATGTAAATATCAGCTGGATGAGATTTCCAGCCTCCTTTCTCCTCTCTCAGCTTGGAAGATGGCACAGACTAGCAGTATGATGAACAATTACAAGATATCTCAGCTTGGAAGATGGCACAGATTAGCAGTATGATGAACAATTACAAGATAAGCAGTATACTGATACCACTGCCCAGCCACTCTAGGTAATTCTGTCTTTCTTCAGTGAATTAAGTAAGCATTGACACTACTACAGTCCCCACTGTGCCAACCTTTTACCCCTCTGTAGGGTCCGACTGGTGCTGCTTTAATGTCTCTTCTCCCTTCCCACCCCCAAACTCTCTGCAGAGTGGAGGCTGTACTAACCACAGGGCCTCCACACTACAGCAGTGCACAAAAGCCAGAGACAGCTTGTCCTCCATTCCCCTGGTGATCTCAAACTGCCATGCACCCTGAGCTCCAGCCCCGTGGTGAGATCAGTGCAGCTGAGGAGAGAGCCAGAAGGAGAGAAACTGAGCCTTCTTCCACCACTGAAGACCTTAATGATGTAGGGTAGAGTCATACTGAGCTATGACCAGTATCAACAGGGGAATCACAACAGAAGGCTCAACTAGTAACTCTCATCACTATTTCATAGCATCCAGACATCCCATAGCTTTGCAGAAGCTGTTGAAGTGGACAAGACAATAATTCTTCAGGAAGTGATCAGCTACAAAGTCAACAGAGCCAGGGGGGATAGGACAATCCTTCCAACTTGTAAACTGCAGAAAGGAAAAGCTGGACTGCAATGGACTGAAATTTGTTCACTGAGAATGTGGCAGTGTTAAATTACCTGGTTAGCTTCATTATCTCATTGGAAGAGGACAACAGAGAAAAACTGCACTACTATATGTTTTGAAGTGTGAAGTTTTGCTAGATTTTATGAAATTATTAGCTGATAACTTCTTGAGTTCAGTCACTTCTTAGGTGAAAGTACTTATTTGAGCAGTACTTTTCTTCTCCATTACCATTCCATACAGTCCTTGAATACTTCTATTAAGTGTCTGCTTTTGTTTTAAACTAGACAACAGCTTAATCTGCTACCAAATTAACTTGAACAGGGCCATTAACTGTCACTAGCACCAGCTCCATTGTTGGTGTCTAGCTTGGCAGAAGTTCCTGGAGTTGAGTGTCACTGATTTTCATGAAATGGTTTTCATGTTGAAAACCAGAAAGGAGCTCTGGAACTCAGAGATCTTTAAGTTAAAGCACAAGGACTCCTCAGTGAACAACGACTTCATTCAGCAAGGGTACTCAAACTCTTGAGAAAGCCTTAAATCTGACTGGAAAAAAAAAAAAGACCCAAGCACCCTTTGCCCTTGCCCACTTCTTTTTTAGCAAGTGGATAAACATTTGTACCAGACAGAAGGTGGGTGCTGCAGGCAGTGACTGTTCCATCCCTGAGACAATACACTGGGGGTATCCTCATGTCTTTCTTTCCATGCCCCTCCCCTCCTTTTTCAGGGAGCCATGCAAAAGGAACCTCCCCCAGGAGCATGGCATTCTCTGGAAGGCCTTTAGACACTTGATTTCACTCCCCAAACTGCTCCTCAGAAGGTGCTAACGGTCCCATTAAAGCACAGATGGAAACCTCTTTTCTTTCCTAGGAAGCAGATACAGAACACCAGTTCTTGGAGACTTCCTCCCCCAGAAGGATGAGGAAACAAATACTAACCACTGAAAAACTTTCCAGAGGGATGGATTCTGAATCCTCTTTATTTTAACGACCTTGTAGCTTTTCATAGTCTGATGAAACAGCTGCTTTATTCTGTCATATTCAGGGGTTGTATTACTGATCTCCACTGCCTATAAAATAGAAACCAAAGCAAAAGAAGACATGAGGCTTCAGTTAGCTCATAACATGCAGAAGCCTAATTACAGCAGATATACTTTCAGAAGGGTCCCCAAGCTATACTTATGAAGGTTAATTTAATGCTTCAGCTCAAGACTATGTGAATAATTAGGACAGACACCTCACATGTAAATTAGTATGTCACTCCTGCTTTGCAAGGACACCTCACCTCTCTTCAGGAAGGATGCTGAAAGCAAAAGGATAACTGAAGTGTTTATCATCTCCAAGAGCTGACACTTTTAACTTCAAATCTCAATGAAACAAATTTCAGAAAGAAAAAATGACTGATTATTTCAAATAATGTAAGTTTTATATCTAAAGCTAAGAACAACAGATATTAGATAACAAGATCATTTGTAACCAGACATTTAAATGAGCTTCAGCTATTAAAGATGACACAAACAAAATACATAGAACCTCCCAGCATCAGAGCTCCTTAACTTTTCAAAGTTAAAACTTGGAACTTAAATACAGGCTTCAGAAATAAAACTACATTTCTAAACATGAGAGAACAATTAGGATTCTAATAGAAAAGTTATGCTAAATAGTTGCTTAAGCAAATATATTTCCTCCTTTCCTAGAGGAAACCAAGTACATTTATCCATACTTTCCAAGCTTAAAAATCCATCAAGAAATGCACATTTTTTCCCAGGAAAAGTTAATGCAAACCATAATTAAAACATGATTCAAACTCTTCTGCTTGCTTGTATCATGCAAAAATTTTCCATTTTTTTCTCCAAAGTAATCTCTGTCTTTAATCTTCTAGAAGAAACACTTATTTTCCTAAACTTGACTGAAAATGCATAGCAGATGTCCCTTGATAATACTTTCCACTTTACCTCTGCCTAAGCCAACTGGGGACTCCAGGTGACTTAGAGTGAAATGCCCAACATCCCATGTATCAATGTTGAGTTAAGCAGGAAAGCTGTGGCCATTCTAGGAGGTAGCATGAAATCAGCATCTTAACCTGTCAGGCAAAAGCTCCACAGTTGAGAAGACTAAGTTTAGAGAGGAGATAAAAAAGGACTTGGATTTCACAGCTGCATACAAGTGTTTTTCTGGACACCATGTCCAGCTTGTGCATTAAGTACTTTCTGACAAAGAAGACCATCATAGGAAAATCTTCTAAGGGTTAAGAATAAAGGCAACTCCACAAGGAAGAATTATTTCTTTGAATTTATTAAAAAGCTTTTACAAAGTTGACATTTCCCATGTCTTAATACAAGAGCATTTTCCCAAGCTGCTGTACAACACATAAAACAATTTGGATGGGCAAGTGTTTATTATCTGCATGTTTGCAGCTCAAGTTGCTCACCATCACCTATAAGATGAAAATTATATTATTCTATATTTCAGCACTACATCTTTTATTTATACATGAACAATTCTTATTTAGACTATTTTAGATTCTGCTATGCTGCATCTTTCTGGGTAAAACAGAGGGTCAGACACATGATGCAAAGCCTAATCCTGTGAGAAAAGTACTTCAATTATTTCATCCTATGATGACCTCCAAGCAACAAAGACATTTTTTTTTTGCATGAAAACTTTGTGGGATAGTCCTTATTTCCCCAAGGAAGCTTCTCCTGCTAATAAAGGGTAACACCACATTGTTATTGCAGGTTGATACTTCAGAACCACATAACTTCTTTAGTTCTTTTTCAGACCTAAAAAGGAAAATCCCAGAGAGTGTAAGCATTTGCTAACCCACTTCCAAGGGGTGGAGCTTCTGAGGCACAGAAAGGACCACAGCCCTGATAGTAGTTTCTCTTAGCCTGTGGCTGTACAAGAACAGTGCTCTGTGGGACCAAACCACATCTCTGGTGTCCTGGGTTCACCCATGATAGGGTCCATTGTCACAAGAATCTGGGAGGGGTCACAGCCAGGTTGGCCAGATGGAAGCAGCCAGTGGGATATTTGATCCCAAATTGTTTGTTGTGGTGCCCATTATGTAAGGGGGGAGCAGGCCTGGGCAGAAACATTTATTTTGAGGGGTCAGGTCAGTGACACTGGTGGCATTTGGGAATTAACGGTTGCATTGCATATCCCTCATTTTATCTATTATTTCATTAGTATTATTGCTATCACTTACAGATAAAGGCACTGCAACAGCAATGTTGCAGTGCCTTTTTGGTCACAGAAATGTGACCAAAAGAGAGCTGCTCTTTTTAAGCAAAGATTACTTTCTCCTCATCCCATATAGGTGTTTTTAAAATTTACTTCCAGTAAAAATTTTACTTCCAGTACAGCAAATTTTGTCAGGATTATTTGTCAATGTCTGAAGAGAAGAGAATTCATCAAGCTGTAACTGTCAGATCTTAGGAGGGTTACCACACACATGCAGGATCCCAGCCAGTCCCAATATCACCTATTGCAAAAAAGAAAAGCTTAGGGTCCCCACAGAAACATTTCTACTAGCCCAGGCTTTCACTCTTAGTGCCAACAGGTACTGTGGCCTTTGTCACCTTTTAGGTACAGAATTACCTTTTCCCTTCCTATGGAAGGCACCCAGTTAACTCATAGGTTAGGAGATGGTTTTCTTAGGTGCCAACTCAGCAAGCAAACTTTGCTCTGGGGAACAAGATGATCCTTCTGTTTCACACATCCCCACAAGCACCCCCAGCGACTGCACAGATCTGCACATCCCATTCCAAAGCCTCTCACACTCACCTCGGGGACTCAGGAACACCCCAACAAGGGGACTCAACTGACATTCAAACTGAAGCTTTCAGAGTAAATAAGGGAAGCAATTAAGCACATAGAATCATAGAATCATAGGGGTTGGAAGGGACCTCGAAAGATCATCTAGTCCAACCCCCCTGCCAGAGCAGGGTCACCTAGAGTACATCACACATACAACTCAGAGAACTAGAAAGAACTGAGCTACCTATATTCCTGGCATTCTTTTGAAAAATTTAAGGTTATGTTGATTGGTTAAGCTGCTGATAAGCCAAGGGAAGACCTGATGAGCTGTATCCTTGGTTATTTTGACAGAGCTCAAAATATTACAGGCCCAAATCTTTAAAAGGTCTGGCTGCCAGATTTCTACACAAACTCGTTAAGTTCTTTCAGCAGGTGATGGACACCTGACACTTCTACATGTTGAAAAATCAGGGTTATTTGCTAATTGTGGAAAACAGCTGTTTGAAGTGAGCTACTGTACAGAGCAGTTGACTTAAATTTCACCCATTGATTTTTTTTTTTAGAACTGTATTTAGATTAATTTACTGTATACACACATGGCCAGATACTGGTGTTACACTGTGTAAGGCATAACCCAACCCAAGAGGGTAGTCAGGGTAAAAGGAAATACTCAGCACAAAGCAAAATAACAGAAACCAGCCCATGGAAGCCAAGAGATCTGGTATTTCAGCTCTCATACCACTGCCAAGGTAACTACACCAGGGAAAATAAAACACAGGGAGTGAGAATAGCAGTTGAGCTCTCTGTCAACTGAAACTAGCCAGAAAGAATTCTCAGTCTGGAAATACAACATTACTGCTGTCCTGTCCCTAGCCATCAAGATACCTGTGCCAATACAACTTGTCAGCATCATATGAGATTGTGTGACTCAGTCAACAAGGAAAACCTCTTACACTCCACATTAGGTGATGATCCTCACTCAGGGTCAAAACCACTATGAAAAAGGACAAGTCTAACACTGAAAAGCCTTTTTTCTAGCATACTGTAGTACTTCCACAGTCTGTGTTAAATCTTCCAGAAGGATTCCTCCTTCTGAACACCATTAAACCTGGTAATTTAAAAAAAAAACCACCTGCACATTTTTGGTCATGGTAGACCAAACAGGAACATAGATTTGGGGCTGACAAGGGTCTGGTTTGCTGAAGAGATCACTGCACATGTTTTTGGTATTATTTGCTGTAATTATTTCTGCCATTCCTTGAGGTCATGGTCTGTGCTCAGACCTGTGATGTATCTGCCAGCACTGGGCAACTTGAAAGAGCACACAGAGATTTCCTTTCCCAGATCTCTAATCCAAATTTGATTCACCAACAGCCATGATGGCACTACTATTGAATGGCTTTTCACTGGCCTACATAGCATTTGGTCTCAGTCCAGCTTCTAGTGAATGTACATACTTCACAGACCTGGTCCACTAGGTCACCAAAGTAAGCCATTACTTTTTAACTATGAATCTTTTAGTCTTGAATTTGGTGAGTTTTGGTTTTGCATGTAGATAGATGCCTAAACTCAGATGAAGTTCATGAGAATTTGGCACCTTTTCCAGGATCTCTTGGGAGATCACCTAGCTCTTCAGCACACCCACCCAAGAAATCACTCCTGTCCCTTTTTAGCATCTACCCAGTTACAATTGCTTCAGTTGAGCAGCATCCTCCCCTCCTTTGAATAGTGGTTTACATCAGAATTCTGAGAGGGGATAAAAATAAAATACCTTGTATCCAAACTCAGGCAGTGCAGATGGATCCCAGTAGGCAGGACAGGCTTTATCTGGAATAGAAGAATCCTTCTGCCTGTTTGTAAACAGACAGAAAATGAGGTGTTAGTCATTCTAGTACTGCTCTGAACATCCAAATCAGCAGCATCCTCTTCAGCCAATTCCTACATTTAAAACCAAACAAAAACAAACCACAAAGAAACTGGGAAGCAGCCTCAGTCTGTGAGCTGAGCTTTGCATGCTGCCATTCAGTTGTCACAGTCCTCTTGCACCTGCTTTTTTAAGAAACAGTTGCCCATCACCAGTCGTGTGGCCATGGTACCTGGAGTGCCAGGCACCCCAGAAACCAGGTGATGCATCAAGATGGCAGTTTGTGATACAGCTTCTGTTCAGTCAAATGGACATAGAATCATAGAATCATTTAGGTTGGAAGGGAACTCCAAGATCATCAAGTCCAACCATTGAGCCATTAGGGCTCTAAAGTCCTCTGCTAAAACAGATCAGAATCTGTCAGGGTTGGAAGGGAGCACAAGGATCCCCCAGTTCCACCCCCTCTGCCATGAGCAGGGACCCCTCCCACTAGATCAGGCTGCCCAGAGCCTCCTCCAGCCTGGCCTTAAAGACCCCCAGGGATGGGGCCTCACCCCCCTCCCTGGGCAACCCATTCCAGGGTCTCACCACTCTCATGGGGAAGAACTTCTTCCTCACATCCAGCCTGAATCTGCCCACTGCCAGCTTTGCCCCATTCCCCCTAGTCCTGTTGTTACTTGATATCCTAAAAAGTCCCTCCCCAGCTTTCCTGTAGGCCCCCTAAGATACTGGAAGGCCACAATAAGGTCACCTCGGAGCCCTCTCTTCTCCAGACTGGCACAGTTACTGTCAGCATTAGCAGCCATTTTTCCTTATAATTACTTCTGAAATATGAAAAAACCAGCATCTTAAAGAGCATCATTTACCCTTTCTTTATCTTCTGCACATCTTCAGGAGACACAAATTTTGGCCGCCTGCAGACCCGTCTTCGAGTTTTAAAAAGGGTATTTGTCTGGATCATTTCTTGATGAGAAAAAGAGAAGGGAAAAGAAATACCCATGAATAAATCTACAAGATGGAGTCATTAATTAATAACATTAGTTAATGACAAGTGCCTATTCCTTGTCAATTCTATCTGCTGAAGAACAGCTGCACAAAGCTGACGTAACCTTCTTGTCCTTCCTGTAGCTGTTATTTAACCTGTGCCCACCTTGCCTGCTCCCTTAAGTCATTCATGCTCTTTAAATGTTGCTCCAGCAGCACAGAAAGTGGCTGGATTTTCATTTTTACCATCCACAGAGCCAACTCACTTTAAGGTTTACTATGACTTCACAGAAGGCTACTTATCTTTTTATTTCTGGTCTAATGTGAGTCTGGATAATGCCAAGGAATAAAGGAGAAGGTTACTTCTGTAAGGAATTTTCTCAGGGCCACCACTACCTCATTTCCTATTCTAATGAGTAAATCTGATAGTGGTAGTAAAAGAAGGCATAACTTCTAAAAGCTGGGATAGCTTGCAAGTTGTGTCTTTGTAAAGCATTGCACAGTTGTAAATGAGATCTTTTAAAATTAGTACCTTTGAAACTGAGCTGGTAATTCTGCATGCCAGCCTGGAAAGATATGGTGTCATCTGGATCTGCTAGGTATGCATTCTCAATAATAGCAGAAGATGGTGATTTCACACTATCCCCTTCTCCCTTTGGTGGGGGAAAAGGGAAAAAAAAAAAAGGGGGGGGGGGGGGAAAAAAGCATTGAAAAAACATCACACAG